CATATATGTGGCAGATGGTGACTTCAGGTTAACACCTGAATGCTTCCCATCCCCTGAACTGGCCAAAGGGCAGGGCTGCAGAGCAGCATACCCTTGGGATGGGTCTACAGCCTGTATTTCAGCCCTCTGCCCTTCCTCTGCGCAGGGGCCCATAGTTGCTGGCTGGAATTGGAGCATTGTGAGCATCCTTGCATCTCCTGTGAGAAGTACCTAAGATCCTTTGTGGGTTTGTGGGCTCCCTCACCGCAGTGTGTCCTGCTAGGATCCTAGTGCTTTGGGCTTCCTTGTGTCAGGGACAGCTGGAGTCTGGGATCTGTAAGCTTCCTCCCCACTTGTGGGAGGGCCAGCCTGGCTTTCAGAGGGATGATTTTTCTCCCAGCAGGCACTGTGTATTTGTATATGGCAAAATGACCCTGTCGAGAGTTGAACCATGAGATCTGTCTTGCGACAGCCCTCTGCTAAAAGTCACAGAGCCTCTAAGGCTGAGTGGCCACCCTTCAGCAGGACGCATTGGTACCAGTTTAACCCCTGTAAGGGATGAAGGCTTTGTATGGCTAATTAAATGAAAACACCTTTTGTTGCATGACTTTTAGGGTGGCCTTACAGCTTTTTCCCCTTTCTTATGTTTCTGCCTAAGCCAGCTCCTCTGACCTCTAGATTTTTGAAGCTACAGGGCCGATTTCAAACAAATGTAACGCTGGGGTGGATTTCAGAGAGGCTGGGATTGGATTGTGTTTCATGAAAATAGGAGAATAAATTAGAGAAGAGAGAAAATGAGAGAGAAACCTTCACAGAGCCCCATTAGAGGAGAGAGTGCTGTGTGAGTTCAACCTTTGGTGGACATCAGAGAAGCTGCAGTGTAAGACACTCTCTTTCTCTCATGTCTTCCATGTCACAAATCCACAGGTCATCAGGCTTCCTCTTTGTCCCAGACATCTCAGGCCTTCTGGAGCATTTCTGGGCACAGCCATGGATTCTTTGCTGCATGACTTGATGGTTGCTTCTGGGATAAATAGGAGCACCCCTGGAAGCAGTGGGGCTGAGAGGGAAGGGGCTGCTGTTGTTTAAGTGCCACAGCTGTGCTGTGAGCTCTTCCATGGTACTGTCCTTTCACTGTAGCCAGGGACAAAAGCAAGGGCCATCTCTGGGTGGTGATTTGAAGTAGCTGCAGTGATGCATAAGACCAACGTATATGGTAGAAACGATCCAGCAGATGTGGAGAGGCCCTTCAATAAGGCACCAGCCCCCAGTACCAGGCACCCCTGGGAAAGATCTCTTTTCTGGGAGGTGGGTAGAGAAATTCTGGGAGGCAGAGCCCTTGGAGATGGTGTTTGTGCCCTCAGGCCTGCCAAGAGCAGGCAGCACGCTGGGCTTCAAAGAGGGCTGATGCCCAGCTGCAGCACAAAGCCTAAGAAAGCAGCAGGAGCTTTGGCCTGGTTTCGGGGTGTCCCCAGAGGAGCCAAGAGTGTTTGGCAGGTTTTAATGCATGCATTTCTAATGGGAGGCTCTTAGCACCGTTTAAGCAATGGTAGAATTAAGTGCTGTTTTTCCCAGTGAACTGGGCCCCAGGAGGACAAGGTTGACAAGGTCAGAATTTCAGGCCCAAACTGCTGCTGTATGAATCTTTTCTGGTTGCTTTTTTACACTGTGCCCTCTGGACCTTGTATCCTTTCTCAGTCATAGTCTTTCCACCTCCTCAGCCCACGGCTTGTCTCTGTCCCTCATATCAAGTCTGTCCGTACTTTCAAGTGGTTGTATTTTAAGCTGCCCTTGTGCCTTGCCATCTAACTAGTGACTGTACTCCTGTGTCACCCTCTGTGCCACCCTGATCCCCAAGCCAAAGGGTTGCCTGTGGCTATCAGAACATCCAGCTCCTGACTCAAATCTGGGGGGCTTCTCCCTCCATTTTTCCTCTGAAAAAGGGAACCATTCCTGTGACCTCCTGCTCTTCTCCAAACTCTCTGGTGCAAAGAAATGCCAATAACATTGACGCATCCATTAGTAGGGAATAAACCAGAGGGAAATTGTTGGGAGCTTGGAGCTGATGGGTTGACTTTGTGCCAGCCAAGGAGGGTACAGCCATTCATGGGCACAATGCCGCTACTTGATGCTTTTGCATTCCTGAGGATGGCCAGGAGCCAAGGGCATGTTCTAAGTGCTGTCTTGGCCTACACTGAAGACTATCGGAACCCTACAGAAGGTAGGCCTGGTTCACCAGGGTGGTGACATTTCACTTGCCCTATAAAACAGATCCCATGTCCGAACTGTTCCTCTTGCCTGTAACCACAGACCCCCTCCAAACCAGGCTCTCCATGACTGCTCTTGTGTCCCCCTTCCTTGGTTCTCCTCTGGGCTGGGGTTGATTGCTACCCTGGGGACTGAAGAGACCAATGAGTTTGGCTTGAGGAATGGCTTGGCCCTTCCTTTGGCCTGTGGCTGAGGCAAGGTTGCACAGCCAAGGTGGAAAGTAGAGAGGGAGCAGGTCTTCTCTACATGGTCCCTTTGATTTTGATACATAGCAAGGATAAACACCACCTTCATTCCACCCAGCCCCTAACGCTGCCACCTCCTTCCTCTCCAGGCTCCTAGGACATCTTCCCTTGCAAGCCCTCTCTGTGCTCCCTGAGTGCAGCTCCCTGAGTGGGATTGGGTGGCTCTCAGCGATTACTGGGGCTGCTGCAGAGGAATGTGGTCCTGTCCTCAGGTTTTCGTCCTGTGCACCACGAACAAGCTACAGCAGACAATGACGAATTCAGCACAGCTTTTGGAGCAGTCTGCTCTACCAGAAGGGGTCAAGCCAAGGGGGCTGCGATGTTCCTGTATGGAGCTGGGTATTGTGATTGTATTTGTCAAGGTGAGACAGACAGGCTAAAGCAAAATGCTCAGGGATGGATGCTGGCTAAAATGTTAGCTAAGATTTTAGGGGCAGAGATGGTATGGTGGGTTGGCTGTACCTGTGCATGGAGTCACCTCTGGAAAAGGTGGGACTGGCATTGAGGAATATCAGAGGCATGTGGGTTCCAACCTGTGGAGAGCCAGATGTGCTTTCTGTCTGATGCATCTGGAGAGACAATGTCAGGAAGTTATTTCTCTTTGGATTATAAGGCTGAGAAACAAAGCAACAGACTGTAAAAGCCTCTGCTTTCTGCTGCAGTGCTGTTTGATGCAAAGCTGAGGCAGCAGCTGGAGGCCATTGTATGACAACCGTAAGTGACACGAGTTTGGTGGCCTCAGATGACGAGCTGTGGGGAACAGAGGCTTTCTCTCTGTCTTTTCTATTGGTCTAGCTCTTCTCCCCCTCCCTTTTTCCATCTTGGCTTTACTTTTTGGATTATTAAATATTTAAGTGTTTCTCTGTGACACTATCTCTGATCCTTTAATCCAGCTGGCCTGGTAATTCCACAGACCCAAATCAGCTCAGATTTCTCCACAGCCCTAAGCCTTGTTTCTCAAGGGTTCACTCCTCCTCCATTTATCTTCCTTCATTTTATTTCTGCCCTTTGTGTCTCTGTGCTAGAAATTGGTTCAGCTTTTTCAGAAAGAGCTTTGTCAGTGTCTTTAGTGAGCAGCCTCCCCCCACAATAAAAAGGGCAAGAAGACACCTTAGTTTTTCATTAACTAAGAATCCTTTTCTCTGTTTTTTATTTCTTTTCCTATCAAAATAAATGAATAAATAAATAAATGAGAGTGCAGTGCCCACATGTTTTATGTGCCATATGAAATTGTTTCCTCTGTGCTGCCTGAGGACACCCCTGCCAGGCTTGTGTCTCAGCACAGTGGGAGAAGGCTTGAAGCTGTAGCTGGAGGGAAGGGTGCTCCAGGCTGCCCTTCTCAGCCAGAAACAGGAGCTTGCCCCGAGCCCAGGAATGCACTGAAGCATTCCTGCAAGGTGTCCTTTCCCTCAAAGGGGCAATGTTTACAGCTCTAAGGAGAGGTGGCAAAGCACAAAGGTGGAAGCAGAGCATCTCTCTTTGCTAGGGGGTAGGTGGGTGATGTGCTCCAGCTGAGGACTGCTTGCATTGCTGGCTGAGAGGCTGGTGTTTGACACAATGCCTACACCCTGCCCCCCGGCGTGCTGAAGCTGGGCTGACTCACCTCAGGAGCCTTATCCATGCACCAAGAGGCAAGAACAATTTTTATAGCACAAATAGTTACACGTGGCTTGAATTATTTATCCCTTTTGCATCAAGGAAGGATGGAAACAAACAAAAAAGTGTTTTGTTCTTTTTTTTTTTTTTTCCCAGGAAGGAAGGCTTGTCCAAATTTTCTCTGCTTCATGCATTCCATGTACATCATTTTCAGGCGGCTGGAAATCCGCATCTTTGGCTTGTGCTTGGGGCTTGCCTCTGTTTACCATAGGAGTTTTGAACCCCTGAAATAACAGACTTATGTTCTCCATCCCTCTTCGTTTTTCCCTTCCCCTTCTTCCCCAACACTGCTGCCTTCCTACAGGTCCCTAGCTTTGATCACATTACGTGAGGCAGTCCTGGTGCTTTTCTGCATACCCTTGATATGAGATTATATGTCATGAAGGTTCCCTTCTCGAAGGTTTATCAGCATCGCAGGCAGTATCATTCCTCTCTTGCCTGCATCCCCCAAAATGCTGTCTCTTCCCCATCTCCCTCTTCTCATGAAGCCTTGCTGTCTATACTCTTATCTCAAAGACCCCTCCAACTGATGCCTCTTCTTGTCTCCTCTGTGCTTTCTTTTCCAGATTCCAGTGACAGATGGATCCCTCTCGTGTGCACTTGCTCTTTCCCTCTCTGTATTTTTGTTTTCGACATGTTTGATCGGAAGCTCTGAAGCTTCTCAGGAGTGAACCTGGGGAAGAAGGAAGAGAAGGAGAAAGAACTGAGGGAGCGTGAGCGACAGAGGAGGCAACCCTGCGTTGTTCTTCCAAATCACACCGTGGAGGGGAGAGGGAAGACTAGAGGGGGGAGGGCTTGGGTTGATTTTGGGGTGGGTTCGGTGTGGGTGGGGGGTGGGTGGGAGGGAGAAAAGTGGAAAACGTGGGCAAGTCATTCATGAGCATCAAAGAAGATTCGTTACCCTCGGTCTGAATTTTTGTTTAGAAAAGCACAAGGTAGTTCCCTTTCAGACCAATTATTCACGGTCACAGCTCTTGCGTGTGCTGGAAGCAGATTGCATGTGTTCTCGCTGCTCCATGCTCCTGGCTTGACCCAGAGGGCAAGAAGAAACAATGGTGACAACACACACAAAGACTGGGGTGCTCATGCCCTTCAATTGCTAAAGCCCAGTTACTGCCCCTTTCTCTTCCCCCAGGCCCTTAGTTTCCTTTTGCTGTGATCCTGACATTTGGGGTTGTTTTCTGTTGTGGCTTTTTTTTTTCCCATCCTGATGAGGGCACCACTGCAGACCATGATGTGCCTGGGGTTGTGGGCAGCTGCCCTGCTCTGCTTGTTTTCCCCCGGCACTGTGCGAGGCGATTGCTGGCTGATTGAGGGGGACAAAGGTTATGTGTGGCTGGCCATCTGCAGCCAGAACCAGCCCCCATATGAGACCATCCCCCAGCACATCAACAGCACGGTGCACGACTTGCGTCTGAACGAGAATAAGCTCAAAGTGGTGCTGTACTCATCTCTCAACCGCTTCGGCAACCTGACTGATCTGAACCTGACCAAGAATGAGATCTCTTACATTGAGGATGGGGCTTTCATGGGCCAGTCGAACCTCCAGGTCTTACAGCTGGGCTACAACAAACTCACCAACCTGACAGAGGGTATGTTGCGGGGCATGGCGCGTCTACAGTTCCTCTTTGTGCAGCACAACCTTATTGAGCTGGTCACCCCTACTGCCTTCTCTGAGTGCCCCAGCTTGATTAGCATTGACCTGTCTTCTAACCGTCTGAGTCGCCTGGAGGGGAACACTTTCACCAGTTTGAGCAATTTGATGGTGTGCGAGCTGGCTGGCAACCCCTTCAACTGCGACTGTAGCCTCTACAGCTTTCTTAACTGGCTGGCGGTCTTCAACAATGTCACCAAGAACTATGACCGGCTCCAATGTGAGAGTCCACGGGAGTTTGCTGGGTACCCACTCCTGGTGCCTAGGCCTCACCACAACCGCAACGCCATCACCATCTTCCAGTCCATGTGCAGAGGTGGCACAATTCCCTCCCTCTCCAGGGTCAACCCCACCCCTTATACCCCTGACTCCCAGAGAGACCTGGATGAGGGCTCAGCCATCAGCCCTGGGGACTTCCTCTCAGTCAAGCCTCCAGCTTCCTCCACCACTGACTCCTCCTTCAGTCCCAGCATCAAGCTCCATGATGTCACCATCACCTCAGCTATCCTGATGGTAACCATCCCCATGCCCTACAGTAAGATGTATGTGCTGGTCCAATACAACAACAGCTACGTTTCTGACATAGCAACACTGAAGAGCAAGAAGGAATACGTCACTGTCAACAAGTTGAAGGCCCACACTGATTATACTTTCTGTGTGGCCTCCATCCGCAACAACAGGCGCTACAACCACACTTGCCTGACCTTTGCAACCCGAAGTAAAGGCAGGGAGGACCCTATTTCCAGTACTTCCACCACCACCCACTATATCATGACCACCCTGGGTTGCCTTTTTGGGATGGTCATTGTCCTGGGGGTGGTGTACTACTGCCTGCGGAAGCGGAGGATGCAGGAGGAGAAACAGAAATCCCTCAATGTCAAAAAGACCATTCTGGAAATGCGTTATGGATCAGATATTGATACTAGTACCATGGTCCATCCTTCCCAGAAGCTGGGTGAGCCACCAGTCATCCCTGTCTCACGGATGTCTTCCATCCCTTCCATGATTGGGGAGAAGTTGCCCCCATCAAAGTCAATAGACACTGGGATGGAGACTCCTAAAGTCACCACTAAAGGTAACTACATTGAGGTGCGGACTGGTGGTGGGGACGGGCTGGAGCGAACGCAGCGGGATGAGGACCTGAGGGAGCTTGATAATGGGCAAGGCTCAGCTGCTGAGATCTCTACTATAGCAAAGGAGGTAGACAAGGTCAACCAGATCATCAACAACTGCATTGATGCCCTCAAGCTGGACACAGCCTCCTTCCTGGGTGGTGGAACTGGTGTTGACTCAGACATGGCCTTTGAGTGCCAGTCCATCCCAGCTGGTTCCTCGGGTGGGCTAGAGCGGCCTAGCTTTCTTTCCCCACCCTACAAGGAAAGCTCCCACCACCCTTTGCAGCGCCAGCTCAGTGCTGATGCTGCCGTGGCCAGAAAGACCTGCAGCGTCTCCTCTAGTGGCTCCATCAAGAGCGCCAAGGTCTTCAGCTTGGATGTGCCTGACCACCCACCACTCAGCAAGTCTGACTCCAAATACATTGAGAAGGGCAGTCCGCTCAACAGCCCTTTGGATCGTCTTCCCTTGGTGTCCCCAGGCGCCATCCACCACTTGGAGGTCAAGCCTTCTTACCATTGCAGTGAGCACCGTCACTCCTTCCCGGCCCTATACTATGAGGAAAGCGCTGACACCTTGAGCCAGAGGGTGTCATTCCTCAAGCCACTCTCCCGGTCCAAGCGAGACTCCACGTACTCCCAGCTCTCCCCCAGACACTACTTCTCAGGCTACTCCTCCAGCCCTGAGTACTCATCAGAGAGCACCCACAAGATCTGGGAGCGATTCCGGCCTTACAAGAAGCACCACAGGGAGGAGGTTTACATGGCAGCTGGGCATGCCCTGCGGAAGAAAGTTCAGTTTGCCAAGGATGAGGATCTGCATGACATCCTGGATTACTGGAAAGGAGTCTCTGCTCAGCAGAAGCTGTGACTCTCCCTTGCTCTTTCCAAGGAAACGATACAAAACAAGACCCCCACCCCCAAACAACCAGAAAAAAAAAAAAAAAAAGCCACTTGACTGTGAAAAATAAACCACCAACAAAATACTCCTGAAAATACAAAACTGACAAAATTGTTTCTTAAAGTTTACAACAGCAGCAGAAAACTCTCACACACACTGACTCACACAGACACACACACAAGCCGAATTGTCTCTACTGTGTTACGGGGACCATTGTTCTGCTTGCGATGGTTGGGAGGAGCGTCCTGCTCTGACACTGTGGTAACAGCACTGGAGTGTGGATGGGTGGGAATGACCCGGGATGGGGTGGCAGCGGTGGCAAAGAAAGGGCAGGGATGGACACTCACTGGGCATGAAACTCAGCTGTGAACTATTGCTCTTTCTGTTCCTATTGAGGGATGGTTTTCCTTTTGGGTGGGAGGAAGGGATTTGGTTTAGAAAGCTTCTCTGCCTTCCTGATACACCTGCTTTTCCAAATCTTCCATCACTAATTTTTCCCTCATTTCCTTTGGCAGTGGAGTCTTTTCTTTCCCTCCTGTCCCCTTCCAAGATAGATGGGATTTGTTGGAAGACATTCTCTCGCTTCTTTTCCTTTGCCCTTCCTTACCCTTCTCTGCTTAAGGGTCCTTAGGCTCACCCTTTCAGTCTAGATACTTTGTAAACCTTCATCCTCCTCAGACAAAGAGAGGAGGTGTGAAAGACCAAGGGAGGTAGGACCTGCCATACAACACACTCTGCCCTTGCTGCTCTTCCTCCTTCCCTTCTCCCCAAACCATGTTGTTGCTGATGAGCACCAGCAGTTCTGGAGTGATGGGCATTCTCCAGACTTCTCAGAGACAGTTTTCTGCCATTTGGTGGCAGGGAATGAATGTGTTCTTTGGTATGGCAAGCCAGGTCCTTAAGGAGTGGTGGAGGAAAAGGCAGGAAGGTCTGGTCTCTCAGAGGTGTAAAGGATTCCCATCTTTTCATGAATGTCACAGGTCAGAGGTTGCCCTCACCATACACACCTATGCTCAGGCAAAACTACTGCTACCTTGTAGGTTTGATACTCTCTGTTCATATCTCCCTTACTATGAGGAAGGCACCTGGAGAGGAACTCAGCAGAACAAGTTCTACATGAACCTTCTGCAGCTCTTCCCACCTGACTTGCACCCAACCGGCTTCCTCTTGAATAAGTCATGGACATTCTGGCATGGGTAGGAAATAGCCTAGGATTGAGGCAGGAGCACAGGAAACAAAAGGGATGTGAGCATGGGACCTGGGAATAGCTCAAGAGGGATGGCTCCTAAAGAAACTCCCTTTGTATGTGCAGCCATGTGGTGTGTACTGGGATAGAAGAGCATACCAGCCTCTGGATGACAGTGTCCTTTTGAATATTTAGAGGGCCTCATGAGAGTCAGAGCAACATATCACCTCCTAAATCTTCCACCTCCTCACATTTAGCCATGACAAGCTTTACTTACGGATCCTTTCATGCCTTGGCAAAACCCCAGTTTCACTTGCTAGGTCCCAACCTCTGTTCCTTGGGTAGAAGATCTGCCACAGAGCTGGGAATGAGCCTGCTGCCCTCTTCACATTATCCCATTTCTGAGCAGCCCAACAAAGCATAATCTTGGCACCATCTCCCCCAAAGTTTTCTTGTCAGGCAGGGGTGCTGCCTGCTGAGTGCATCTTTGTGCAGCACAGTGGTCCTCCTCTGCATGAGCTGCACACCCCAAATCTTGACAATTGTTTGCCTCTATCAGGATGGGGGTGAGGGCCTGTGTTGTGTTGGTCTTTCCTAAGTGGATATTTCCTTTTTGAGGTATTCCTGAGAAGCTCCAGTTTTCTGGGAGGCCCTGGGAGAAGGATGAGGATGTAGGAGCTTCTCTGGGAGGGATTTCCATGCTGCCTGCAGAAAACCAGCCTGTCAGGCAGTAGCACTGCCAGTTGTGAGAGAGCTGGTTTCTATGCCACAGGAGTCATGCCTTCATCTTCTGCAAGTGAGGAACAGCAGTAGGCAGGGACTGGTGTATCAAAACCAGAGGGGTGGTCCTCAAGATCTAAACCTGTGAGGATCCATGGGGTTCCTTCCTTGTAGCGATGCTGATGGTAACAACCCTAAGCCAGGTCCTGATCCCACTGCCTCAGCCTCCTTCACTTTCAGCCTGCTTCCCCACAGTCAAAGCATCATTTTGCCTTGAGCCCTGAAGTATTCATAGGACTGACTGCCAGTTCAACCCAGAAGAAGGGGTGTGTGTGCACACGTTTATGTCTGTTAATGTGTGTATGTGCAGGAAGATGAAGGGAAGTCACACCACTGCTGCCAGCCATCCCTCCATGTTGGGACAATGCAGCAAATTGAGACAGGTAAATGCTGTGAGTGATGCTTAGGCAAGTAGAGACCTCTCCAGCTACCACATGGAGCAGGCCCAGTGGTCTTCCAGCATGGCAACCATCCAAGCAGGAACAACTAATGGCTGGGGCACAGAATTGGACAGGAAAAGGGGAATGACAGGCGTGGGGGGATGGAGTGCTGTTCCTCTCCCTACCTCTTCCCTCCCTGTGCTTCTCTGCTGTATGGTCTTGTAATCAGTTCTGCTCAGTCTATAGTTTTGGGGGGAGCGTTAACCTTTAATGGTTTCTTCTCCCTTCCCCCATCACCCCGACGAGGCAGAAAAGAAAGGTCAGGGATACGGCTATCACCAGGCCCTTCTTCTGCCTGCAGTGGGAGTAAGACTGGGTAGGAGGGACAAGCCATTTCTCTCCCAATTGTAGCCCCCCACTCCAAACCAGTGGGTGAAGTTTGCACAAGATGGACTGTTCTGTGGGAGGAAGAGGGCAAGGAAGGGAAACAAAGTGTCTCACCTTCCTTCCTCCTCCCTTCTTCCTCGTCCTGCTCCCTCCCCAGGGACGAGGGCTAGCAAAGTGGCTCCAGCCCTGTCGGAGGAAAGCAGATTTAACGTTCTATTTGCATGATAATTTTACTGTATTTTTCTGAGCAAACACCTGTTGTGTATGTGCCAGTTTGTTGGAATTTAACCTCCTCCCCCAAAGTCTCTCCTGTCCTTGTCCCTGTTTTCCCTGCTCCTTTCATTCATCCCTGATGTGATTTTATGAGAGACTCCTACCAGTTTGGGAGGGAACACACCCCAAAGAGAACCCAACCCAACCAGCTGCACAAACATTCCTCTTTCTTTCCAGTGTCTCCCTCCCCTTACCCCAAATGTGGTCTCTCAGCTGCTTTTCAGGGTTGTGCGTGTGAAAAGGGATGCGTTATATACCAAATGCTGGCTCTTTCTAGTGGTCATAATTTCTCCTAATTATTTAGAAACAGGAGTGAGGCCAATCAAGACAGATCTCATGAGAGAAATGGTCACTAGTGTCCCCATGCCGTGGTTGCTCTTTCCCCAGATCTACAAGCAAGGTTTTTCTTGGGGGAGCAAGGAGTGCTTCAGCTGCAGGGAAACCTCTGATACAGTGAAAGCTTGATACGGAGCTGGTTGCAATCACTTGAAGACCTCCCACCACCTTCCTCTCATTGATCACACATAGGTCTGGATTAGGTCTGTCCTACCCCTCCTCTCCTGTGGGTGGCCCTGGCAGAGGGCAGGGCATGACGAGACTTTTAAGACCTCTGTGATAGTAAAAAGCATAGAGAGACTGCCTGAAGTTCCTAAGCCCCCTATGGCTTTGGCAAGGGTCCCTCACCTCTGCCTTCTCCCAGGGCAAATTGGATTCATTGGGCAGAACCAGGACCAGCCGCTTTCACACTTTATTTATCTGGGTTGGTTACTCATGGCAGGAAAGCAGGGGTTTAGTTCACCTCACTGGAAAGCATGGAGGGTGAGGAAAGAGGTTGGCTGCTCTTCCCCCCAGGAGCAGACTTGGGAGGAAGCCTGGGCTGGGTTCCTGTACCCAGAAGAGTGAAGGTGAGACCCTAGGCATGCTGTACCATCGGGCAGAGCTGTTCCCCATCCCTGCCGGTGTTGCCCCAGCTTATGCTGCCATTTTCCTCTCCTCCTTCCCCACTCTTCCATGCTGAATAAATCCCTCCCGAGGCAGGTGTGAAATATTCATGACTGACAAATGAAGATTTATGTTGGGCTGAGGAGGCCTGTGTGTGTTTGCAATGCTAATCAGCCTGCCTTCCTGGAGGAGGCTCTGCCATACGGGCCTGGGGGAAAGAGGGGGAGATGCAGGAGACAAGGGGGAAAAGGAGCTGAGGAAGAGAGAGAAGGGGCAGACAAGGGTGAGGAAGGTGTACTGGGACCAAGAAATCATGAGGCAAGGGACAGATGAGGAGGACAGGCTGCAAAGGCCAGGGGAAGAGATGGCCCCACTGTAAAAACGGGATGGTAAAGGAGAAAGGGACCAGAGAGAGAAAGGGTTGAGTGCAGGGGTGGGGGCTCTCTGCAAGGAGGTGGGGAGTAAGTCAGCAGTGCCTGAAGAGAAAAGCTAGGCAGACTTCATGATGAGGAAGCTGTGGCCCTTCTCTGTAGGGCAGAGCTCAGCACGACAGGGCGGGCAGCAGCCACATGGGCAGGTTCTGCACCCAAGGCCCCGAATGCACATTTGCCATGCTTGTTGCTGATCGGAAAGCTCAGCTGCGTCTGGAAGGGCACACAGCCTCCGGGATCCTGGAGAATACCCCTTCCACCACCACCACCTCCTTCTGCACAAGCTCCATGTGTGAAAAGCCTCATGGAGCTGTGTCCTCTTGCTGGAGCCAGTCTGCTGCTGTCCCACCATCTGAGCAGGGGGGAGCATCTTGAGGGTGGCTTGGTGCAGGATGGACACTGAGTGGGGTCTCTTGTAGGGCTGTGGGAGCCTGTCCCAGCTCAGCTGCCCCTTGCCCACCCTGGCTGGGGCAGGTGGGTTTGGGTCTTTCTGTGAAGAAGGGGCCGAGGGGAGCGTCCATCGCCTTCCCCCCTACACACACACATGCACTCCCACACCTCGTCCCTCCAGCCACTTTGGCCTTGTACCGTGAGGGATGTTCTCGGTCTGCCTCCCCTTCAGTTCTCTTGCTGTGGGGAGATGTCTCTACAGCTCTCCACGTGCAGTCCCACCAGTGCAGCTCTCCCCAGGGCTGCCCCAACCCTACTCCCTGTCCCCAGGGTGGAGAGAGGGCAATCTCTGCCCAGCTTCTCCTTCTCGCACTGGTGGGCACCTCCTCTCCTCCTTGCCCCTCATGATCCCCAGTCCGTCTGCCCCATCCTCACGCATTTGGCTTGGCCTTTGCCCTCCCCATAATAACCACCGCCACTGTGAGGCCTTGCTCCTGGCTGTCCGGCCCCCATGGCCTGCTCTCCACCTTGGGAGAGGCCATCAGGGTCAGTCCAGACCCTCCAGGGCTGGGACGACTGGTCCATCCACAAGCACAGCACCTGGGGTGAGGGGATGGGAAGGGGCAGGCAACTGCTGCCAGGCACAGAGCTGGGGGCATCAGCCCTTGAACATAAGGAAGGGCCTGGGAGGCAGCTGCTGGGACTGGCTCCTTGTGGCCTCTTTGGTGTTCCTCCTTCCGTAACAACCCTGTGACCCCCCCTGGTTGTGTATGGACAAATTTGAGTTGAAGTTATATTTTCTTCTTCTCCTATTTCTTTTTTCTTTGTTTCCTTCCTCTTTCTTTTCTTCTTTTAGATTTGTATTTCTTTCTTTTCTTTCCTCTTTTTTCCTTTCTTTTCCTGTTTTAAAACTGAATGGCACGAAATCATTTTTCCTCAACTCGGAGATTCCTGTATGGAGAAAATCAATTTCTATATTTGCAATAAATTTCTTATTTAAAAAAAAAAAAAGAAAAAATGACAAAAAAAAACAAAAAACAACAAACAAAAAATATGAAAAGCTGCTTCTGAGTCCATTTGTCCTAGCCTTGTCTTGTAGAGGAGAAGGGATGGGAGGGAATGGGCTATGGGAAAAACCGAGAAAGCTGGGTCAGGGCACTGGAGAAGGATTCTCCTAGGCACCCTGTGGCCATCTACTCCACCCAAACACAGTTTCTCTGCCCTTGTATATCTATTTGTTTGGACACATCCTGATATTTACTGTCCTCAGTTCTGCCATGAGACCAGTCCCCTCCATCACCCAGTTGATGCCCCATTCTGGGCATGACATAGGGCAGTGCTTCCTTGCCCATCACCTACACAACAAGTCCTCACTTGGTGGTAAGAAGCGTCCTCTCCCAAGCTCCAGAGGTCTCCAAAGAAAGGCAGTCTGAGCCAGGTGATTCAGCCATGGGTAATGACTGAGCAATCTGTAGCCTAATCCACCAGCAGATATCCTGATTTCAGCTCTTCTTAAGCATCAATATTTAAAGTCAAGAACACAGACAGCTAATCCGTGGTTATTGGTGCATTTATACACATAATTAGGCCAATTTGTGTATGGTGACATAGCAGCCATTTCCTCGCATGTCTTCTCTGCCTCCTGTTTGTTGTCGTTTCCAGTTCCTCCCAAGATTGGTACTGCTGATTGGCTCAGAGGGTTTCTTCTTTTGCCCTTGCACATCCAGCTTTGGTCAGGTGGGTCTAACTGTGGCTTCTGAGCTTCCCTCTGGGGTGTGCTGAGCTCACAGCCTCTGCTCCTAGTTGCAGGGGGGCAGAAATAAATGGTCCTAAGGGGCTGTGAATATGGTCACAACAGTGAGTTTCAGCTTCTGGATATATATGCTGCAGTAGCTGATGACTCTTATTAATGCTTGAATTCATTTTAGAGCAGCCTTGGGGGCAGATGCTACTACAGGCAGATGCTTCACAGTCTGACATGTTCTTCATTGGACTTAGGAAGAATGATTGAGTATGGGAAGGAATGGTGCTGGGCTGTGCACCTCTGGGGGATGGACAATGGTGCATAACGAAAAGGAGCTCTGCTGGGGTTAATCTGAGCTTCATGTACTTGGTGGAAAGCTGTATCATTGGCTCAAGGTGGTGTTCCTGACATCTGCATCCCTGCAGTGCAGGGATATGGGCCTTCTGAGACAGGGAACCTCAAAACTTGGGAGGAATTAATGCATAAATTATGAAGAGACATAATCTAATCAGTTGAGTGCCCCCATGCTGTTTATTTTGTTGCTAAATTCGATTTTGTTTCTACAGTCTCTGCATTTCATCTGGTTGCTTTGTCACATGGATAAGGAAGGACAAAATGTATTTGCAGATGCTGTCTAGGTGGAGTGGGAAGCTTTGGGAAGGGAAGACTGTGAGGGCTGAAGTAATCACAAATGTCCTGAAGCCGTGTGGGGACTGTTGGGCTGGGGGGACATGGGGGCACTGCAGTCAGTGCTCTGGGCCAAAATGATCTTTTATGAAAGAGTTAAGCAGTGCTTGCGTTTAAGGAGCCTTTGGATGATTCCAGACAGAGACCTTGGGAGTCCTCTGCTCTGCACCAGGTTGTGTGAGCTGGTGTGTGTCCAGGGAAGGGATGAGGTGTGAGCTGCGTCTGCGAGTCTGTGTTGTTCTCTCAAGCGCCTCTGACTATGACTGTGTCCAACTGACGCAGTCCCTGCAGCAAACCACACTGACCTTTCCCTCCAGAAACTGCTTGGTGGACTGTGACGGCTGCATCGTGGACCAGGGGAAATGTCCTGTGCTATGCTGTGGACAGTGAAGAGGCTGCAATGGACTGTGTGAATAAGGGAGTCACCTGGGTGACCAGCATGAGCTGACCCACTCATCATAGAATCATATGATTCTATGGAATGGTTTTGTTTGGAAAGGATCTTAATATCATCTGGTTCCAACTCCCTGCCATGGTCAGGGACACCTCACTCTAGACTGTGTTGCCCAAGGCTCTGTCCAACCTGACCTTGAACACTGTCAGGAATGGAGCATTTACCACTCCTTTGGGCATCCTGTTCCAGTGCCTCATCACCCTTGCAGTAAAGAACTTCTTCCTTATATCTAACCTGAATTTCCCCTGTTTAAGTTTAAACCTGTTATCCCTTGTCCTATTGCTACAGTCCCTGATGAAGAGTCCCTCTCTGGTACCCTTATAGACCCCCTTCAAATACTGGAAGGCTGCTGTGAGGTCTCCACTCAGCCTTCTCTTCTCCAGGCTGAGCAGCCCGTTTTCTCAGCCTGTCAACCCATCAATGGAGAAGAACAATGCAGCCTTGCACAGCCTCATGTTTTAGGCTGGCTGCAGGAAGGCAATTTTATGTTGTCTTGTGGTTGGTTCAGGTTGATGTGGTTCTTTTTCTCTGCCATGACGTTCAGTAACTACCCAAGCCACATTTGCTGCAGCACAGGAAGAACTGATGCAGCCACGGAGCCTTCTGCTGGAGATCATACAGGACTGTTGAGACGTACGTGTGTGTGCACGTGCGTACGTGTACTGAAATGGACAGGCAAGTGAGCAACATTGCCCTCTTCTGGACTGACTGTCAGGACTGGAAGAGCATCTCTGCTGGAATGGCAGCCTGGCAGATGGATTTTCCCGTTTCTACTGAAGAGGTAATGCCCTTTCTAAGCCTTGATTTCCTGTCCAAATCCTGGTGCCTTTTACAACATCCAAGTCAGATTAGGGGATACTACTGCTGTCTGCAGCGTAGGTGCCTGGGGACCTTGATCAGTCATGACTCCTCGCGGTCAGACCAAGTCTAAGAAAGTCAAGGGAGGGATCTCTCCCCTCCATATATGTTGGCTCCAATGGAGCCAGTAACCGAGACCTCTGAAGGGAAGCGATCAATGGATGAGGGTGTGAGGGTCACACTGCTGACATTTGTCCCAAGGGCTTTCACTCAACGGAAGGAGAGCTATTCAGGCTAACCAATGGTCAGGCCAACATCTTTTACCAGGTCTTGGATGCACTCTCTGTTAAAACACAAAGGTGTGAGTCATGCAGAGCTAGAGGACAGACTGAGATCTACACAGAACTCACAGGGATTTGGGAGTGTAAGTGCACACAGGCCATACCCATCCTTAGCAGGGGAGCAGAGGATGTCACTGAACAGCCTGTACATCTCCCTTCTCATCCTTGGAGGAAACACAAGGTGAGAAAAGGCAAGCCTGAACAGCCTGGGAGTGAAAGGTTTAGGAGTGAAAGAGTAAGAGAGATGGAAGAAGGACTCAA